GCTGTTTGACAACTACTCTTTCAAGGATGTTGTTCACAGGCAACATACAGTTCCAGTGGCATTTTTGCTAAATTTAATATAGTCTGTGATCCATCCAGTCAAACAGATGATATCTTCTCCACATGTAGATTCAAAGCAGTCCTGAAGGGTCTTTAAGGCTCAATTGTCAAACTCGCAAAACCTTTATGGATACAGGCTGTCATTAAACAAGAAGCCAACAATAACAACGACTAATGAGAATTGCCTCTGCAAGTAACGTGGAGGTATTGTAAAAGCTATCAGTGCAATATTGCAGAAATGTTCCTTCATAGTAACATATCCAGGATTGCATGACTCTCAGTAACTAACAGTACAGTTTTAATCTTTTGTTCCTGCCACTGAACATCTGAAGCGAGGTGCTGCTGCACTGTGGAAGCAGCCATGTTTCTGTGAAGCACATACATACGCCCAGTCATCTCATTGTCTCACATTCCCAAAGGTTCCCTCTTACTTCTTTGCTTAACTCCAGCCCTGCAGCCCCTTCTTCAGGATAGCAGCCTAATATTTGTTGTTGTTTACACCAGGTTGTACAGGCGGGGAACAGAGAGAAAGAAAGACAGCAGGTCACACATATTAAATGAAGTAATTTGGCATAACCAAGCACAAAATGTACTTGGTTCATGTTTAGAAGAATCATGGTTGTGGTTGAAAGAAACCAACATCTTTGGACTGGAAACCGCCTGTAACTGGTTCAGATTTATCTAAGCAGCTGTAACCATCAACCCAGATGCCTCTAACACAAGGTGCTACCTTACAGTTGTGACCAGGGATGGTTTATTTCCATGCTGATGTCTGCTTTTACTGACACAATAAAGTCTGTTATCATACCAAAGCCAAGCGTCCTGCCTGAAACTGTGCTGAGTCAGCGTATAGCACTTTAACACTCAGCTCTTTCTGTCCCTGAGAGCTAACCCTTCACACCGAGGGGTTAATGCTGGTGTCCTTCTAATGAGGAGTGATCGACTCTGAGTATACGTTACCATTAATGTTTATTAAAAACTTGTTTCTACCATGATATCTTGCAGATTTGCTCTGTTTCAGTGAAAAAGCTTTTCTCTTAAGTAAACTCTTTACTCCACAGAAACGTTCATCAGTACTTGACAAAGTAAACTGATAAAAACACAACAAAACTAAAGTTTGAGTGAATAACTACCAGACTTTGCTGTTATGAGTTGCATGTAGTAAAACTCCGGGTTACTTCCACAGTACAGAGACAAGCAGTTAGTGCTGCTTGTTTGATTGGTGCCTGTGAATGTGATGGTGAATGATTGTCCGGCTCTCTGTGTCAGCTCTGCAACAAGCTGCTGATCTGTCAGCTCCCTGCCCGTCATCCGACGGGAGCTGGGTGAGGCTGGCCTGGATAAGTAGGAGAGCATGCATGGATGGGTGATAATAATTATAATAAATCATCTACCAAAGTAATAATGAAGAACACAAAAGTGCCCCAAAACTTCAGGCAACAACAACAAAATCCTGAAAACATGTTTTCATTACGTGAAAAACAAGAGATGTTTATGCTTCAGTTGAAAACTGGTTGACATGTATGACATTTATGATTTCATTCATGATGCACGAAGACTGTGACACGCAGTACTGATGTGTATGAATATATGTGGTGTTTGGATTAAAGTATACTGATCCTGCTGTGATGTGGGCTGATGCACCGTGAAAGACAGAGAGAAACACAACGATGCTGAAAGAAAAAGATCTTGAAGAGAAATGCACGACATTACAATGAACTGCCAATAGAAACATCCCTGCAGCTTTCTTATTCTTGCTCTGATTATAACTGCTGCCAAATGAATTAGGTAAAGTTGTAACCACAGTTATTGTGGAAAGATACAAACATTTAAAATGTCCTTTTGGAAAATAGATCGTCCTCATGGACGTCCGCAAATAGCGGAGGAACAAAACTGTTCAAATGTGTGTTGTCTTTCTGCTTTTTCTCACAGGTCTGATTCGTTTGCAGGAGCTTATAAAGGCGCCTTCACGGTACAACATCCGGTTAAAGATCCGGCAGTTGCCTGCAGAAACCAAGGATGCAAAGCCACTCTTAAAGGAGATGAAAAGGGGAAAGGAGTTTCATATTATCTTTGACTG